TAATAACTTATTTGTTTCATGCTAATTAAATATTAGAAACAAATATTTTAAAAATAATATTTAAGAAATACTTGCTTTTGATCTGAAATATTTAGTAAACATATAAATATTTCCTAAATATGTATGTAATATTTTGTGTTATCTGGGAATATCTCAGTGAATTTTATCAATTAGTTGAAAATCCCCCTTTATAAATGCTACAGTTGGAATGTCAGTTTTCCTATTCTCAAGTCGTGGTTCGCAAGAATCACTTAAGCAACATTTCTCAAAAGCAAAAAGCATTGATAAAAAAGATTCAAGGCATATTACAAACTTTGAATAAGTTAACATAATTAGGTGGAACAAACGATAAATAGAAATTTAGAAGTGAAACTTACCAACTAAAGGCACAGCTACGTACAAGCTTCCAATCCACGATGTGGCTGACTTGGATGCCCCGAATTCTTCCAAGAATTCGATATACAATAATCCAAAGCAACATGTTATACCGTCTGATACCAAATTAATAAAAAACGACGACATAACCACCAACCATCCCCATCCACCATCTGGTAACGCTAGATGATTTCCGTCCACAAAAATACTGATTGTCGATGTTAGAAACGATTCTCTTCCTTGTAATTTGCCTAGATTGTGACTCGCCCTTCTTTCGCCTTCAGATCTGGATACCGGCATGTAATGACCATGTCCGTTTTGACCATGGCTTGGTCCAGGTCCATGTGGTACCACCATGTCTTATAATTATGTCGGTTGCACTTTGCTCAAGCAGATCTGAAATAAAACGCCGAATATATAACAGGAAATTTTAAACTCTGAAGTGATAACTTGATCCACACTTGTTTTGTACAGATATGTAGTCTCATACGATTGATATAACATGGTTGAATCAAGAAATAGACAGTTATATAGAACCAATATAATCATTGATGGGGCTCTATTGAAACTTTATGATCAACGGCAATCACATGATTTACATTAGGTCCAGAAATTGATTTTGCTAAATAATGTCAATGAAATAAGTAGTCATAAAAACATCTCCTCCTGAGGGAAGACGAATGGCTTTTAACGAAAATATAAAAATCTACTTACTAACAACTCAAATATATTCATCCTTGATTTATGAACCATGATATTTATATAAAAAATATGTCCTTTAGTATGCTGATAGGACTATGATGGATAGTCATCATGTTCCAGTCAAAAAATTGTAAATGGAATGATACCTTTTCCCTTGATATTTCACAAATTTCATTTGCATGGTAGGTACTTACCGATAAAGTCTGAACACTCCTAGTTTGAATCACGCCCGTTTGAATTTCATTCTATTATATTTTTTCCCATGCCTGAAACATACCAAGTATCAAACTAAAATGTTCCACGCATGGCGCATATCACAAAACTAACTAAACTGAAATTAATATTACCAAAGATATCGAGATAAAGATGTAATTATAGCTTCTGATAACATTATAGAAAATTGATCTTAGTAATCTTAGGATCAATTCTAAGCCAGTTTATGTAATTTGTCATAAATATTTGCCACCGGAATTGAGTAGTACCTACACTTTTGCAAAAATGACGATATTCATTTTAGGTCCCATTCTGTTCAAATTCAACTAATCACTTCTTTAAATTTTAGTCAGCAATTAGCCGATTCTAATACACAGGCACACATTTACTTGTAAGAAATGTTTAAATATGTTTCTCTTGCAGTTGCATGTGCTTAAAAAATCAAATAAACCACCTCGAAATTTGAAAAGCTACTGTGTGCGGTCATAAAATGTTATTGTTAAGCGAATATAATAATGCAAAACAATGTTTCCTTTACAAGCCACACCAAAATATATGTGAAATTTAAAAATGAATGGTCGATAATTTGTAATTATTTTCACATAGTGTAGTAGTGAAATATACTTGAAACGACATACCATCCGAGCGTTGTTAAGAGCAAACGTGTATGAAATTTATGTTATTAAAGTTTTGCAAAAAATACTTTTGTCAACCTAATTATTTAGTTCTAGATGTGATTACACTTACCTTTGAACACTCACTTAAACTTACAGTTTTACAGTTATTTGCAAACAATTTCTGTCTTTATCCATTAATTCAAGTTCAATTAATTATTTGCAACATTACTTCATGATTTGTATAAAGCAAATCTGAATCAATGATAAAAATAGTACCATTTTGCTGCTACGATACGTTCACTATGAAGTTTATTAAACAAGTTCAAGAATTTTCAACAACAAAAATAGTCCACCATATTATCGAGGTGTATTTTGCTCCAAATTGACTATGCATGAAATATTACAACAAACAAAAATTTCGCACTAAAATGACGTACTAACAAGTGTGTTGGGAAATTGGCAATTTAATATTTTTTAATAAAAAGTGAATACATACTTTAAATCTTTTAATAATTTGTCTTAAATATAAACAACCAAATAGAGAACCTAAATAACTCATTCATATTTTGCATCGCATATTAAATATATGCAAAAGTACATTTTCTGAAGAACGTATTTCCCTCAAAATTTACAATATCAATTCAGAAAAAAAATTCCAAATAAGCGGACTTTATACAAAAGGAATTGACCAATTGTAAAAAAAAATTAGCATATAAAAAAAGGCGCTGATTAATAGATACAAGAAATTAAGGGCAAGAATCAACATTTTGATATTGTCACTTTGGCCAACATTTTAGTCAAACCATTTTTTATTATGACCTATTTTAACATATGCAAAAGTTAGAATATCACGCATTCACTGCGATAGAACTGAAGTGACCAAGAGAGCAGAAATTAACTGATTTAAGGGAAAACTTGGAAGAGTTTTAGAAAACAGAGACACAATTTAAAATTATAACAAAACCATCAAAAAACCATATTGACAATATCAGTGAAGTAAATTATGTTTGATCCATACTGAAAGCTAATGCGTAACTAAATGGTATAATTACAAAATGGCCGTTCAAAAATTTTTCATTTTACTTCTCTGCATCAAATTATACGAGACTTTTTTGGAACAAAATTAAGAAAAGTTCTAATGTTATACTCAATAAGCAAATGTTCCTTGAGCACATGTTGTTATTACATTTATTTCATTTTTCTTCGGAAATATTTATCATTGACATTTTGATAATGATGATTTAATTTTTTTCATATCTCAGAAAGTTTATGTCGTACAAGCGATAACAACTTGCTTTTATGTAAAGCGGCAAAACGTCGTTGTAATCTGTGCCATAAATTATCTACTAAAGTTATAAAACTCATAAAGCGTGACCTTTAAAAAATCATAGTTTGGTTTAATAACAGTTTTATCTTTTACTCTTTTTATATTGCTGTTACAATTTGCTTCAGCTGTGTATATGCGGTTTTCCAAAGAATCTAAAATCTTCTTAGACAGATCGTGACCATGAATGTAAAGTTTGCTATTTTCTCAACGACTACTGTTATAATTATTTATGTAGTCATTGGATTTTCTCTAACTACAATTAAATTTAAGAAAAAAGTTAATCCATATAAAATATAATTCAGGTTTAATTGACAGTTTATTGTCCATTCTGTATAGTAGCGTTTTAAAATATATAATCTGTTTAATAGTACATTTTTACAGGAAGCAAAAATTTTCTTTAGTGTTCAATTTATTCAACTATTTTTTTACTTTTTACAGCAAACTTTTTAATGAGAATGATATCCAAATTTGCAGGGACTCGCCGAGCCGAGAAAAAGAAGCTAGAAATGCGTTTATTAGTTTATATAGTAATCAGTATAAATAATAAACTTGTTTAAGATATTAAGGCCGCCTTTAACTGTTCTCAAATGTTCCTGGAATTTTGCATCATAATTATGATTAAGACTGAATAACTGAATACTTCTGTCAACTATATATCTTTATAACATTTGTTCGCATTTCTTGCATATAAAACTGGTTTTAATAGATATAAAGTTGTTTTCAAAAAAGAAGAAGACACTAAGATAGTTGAAGTATATCAGTTGTGTTTCGAACATGTTCACGGTAATAGTGTGATTTTTTTAAAAATGTGTATTGTTATTTCTATGTCCAACGCACCAAACATCAAACCTGGTAAACATCTTTATTTGAAGCAAAATATCGAAAAAAATTCTAGATTACATTTATCGTGGCCCGGGTTTTGCGATCTTTATGAAAGATAATATGCCATATTCATATAAATCTGAAAATGTATATAAATTTGATCAAACCACCGGCATTCTAAACAATCAGATGCATTTTGCGCTTCTATTTAAATGATGTAAACTTTTTCTCGTGGACAATACCACTTTATATTCTCTTTATATTTTATGAGTGGACATTATTGCTGTATAATCGACTTCTTTATGAAAAATTGCCATTGAAATATTGTCTTCATTGTTCAATTTTGTATATAAATGTTAGTTTTATACTGGCATTTATTTTTCTTTTCGTTGTTGTTATTAAAACATTACCTGTATTTTTTTATTCTTAGAAGAATACATGCTTTTCAGAAAATTGTCAGCAGTGTCGACTTTTTATGCAATAAATAGAGGATAAAAGTTTTATGTAGGGTTTATTTTTAAAATTTGAATTAGTAATATAAATATGTAAATATAACTTTAACTGAGATTTAATTAGATTTATATAAATAGAAATTAATGTCTAGAAAAAAAAACTACTCCAAAAGCAATCTATAGGAAGTGATAAATTCTTCGCTATCTGGAAAAAGTCGGATTCATGAGTAGGTATCCATTAAACAAATAATTGATTTTATGGAATTCGCGATAACGTACTGATTACCTTTCTCAGTTCGTGTGAAACAGTAAATGAAATATAAATTGAGTAATAAAAATAATATCCAGGATTAATGATATATGCAAGTAAACTGTATCATAATATCAAACAAGCAGTTATATTTGCATTCTTTGAAGCTGGTATGGGACTCATACACTCTATATATTTAAGTAGATCGATTATTGCAATCAACTAGAGAATCCAAAACAAGAACGAGATTAACCGATTTCCATAAATAGCTACTTACATTAATCGAATAGTTTCAGCTTCAGTTAGACGCACCACTTTTAACAACTTACTTGAAAAGTACAAACACGGGTTAAAAAATATAAATTAACTTTTATTTAATAGCTACAAAAATGGTCAATCAGCATATATTTATTAAAGCCCCGTTTCCGAAAATTTTCGTTTTTGGCACATACGGAATTAAACCAACTATTACACCAGACAATACCACCCACATTCCAGCTTGGTAGAACGACTGTTCGTATGTATTTGTAATGTCATACAGCAACCCTGAAAGATAAAGTAGACATATCTAAAGTACTTTAATGGAGATAATGAATTTTACCCTATTCAAAGTATTGCGTAATCTCCATTTAAACGTGTAAGTATCGCGTCATTTTGTCTTATCATCACCTACCTGCTATTGGAGGTCCAGCCAAGTTTCCTATACCTTGGCAGAGCAAAAACAACCCATAGGCCATGGTAAAATTATCAAGCGGTACTAAATCTGCTAATATCGAGGGTGTTAGTGTATTAACACTAGCAAAAGTGATGCCAAAAAATCCGCAAGAAATTAAAAGCATCACGTAATTATCTGTAAAGTACATCATGGCTGCACAGGTTACTCCACAACACATCAGGCAAATCGAATATACTTTAACGGCGTTCAACTTGTCGCCGATTATTCCAAAACCTAACTGAAAAAATATTGCAAATTTCCCATCCAACTGAAAACACGAGTAGATGAACTTACCATTCCCGCAATATTCGTAAACCCAATTAGAGATAAAGCAAAAGACGCCTCATTTTCTGTGTAACCAGATGAAGTCATGTGTACTGGTAAGTAAAAATATGGGACAACGAACCAAATGCACATAATTATTGTGGAAACTCCTAAAAGGAAAAAGTGCAACTCGTTGAAGAGCGAAAGGTTCGTGATGTCCTTTAACACATCGACGTAATCATCATACCATTCCTGAAAGCAACACAATGTTGCAAATTGATTTTATGAGATTGGATGATATTGAGAACCTCATCTTCGTCATCATCGTCCATCAACATAGAATTCTTGAGGATATCGGGACAACTGGATGCAGCCAGTTTGTATTTGTGGAGATTCAGCATTGCCCCTCTGTATCCCATCGAATGTTTGTTCAGACGGATGTTATGCAGATAGTTGTGTGAAAGAGAATCAGATCTATGGGACTTTGTCGAATTGCTGCGTACTAATGTTGGAATTATATTTCCAGACTGATGACGTTCATCTGGAACGGTCCCTTTATAATTAATATTATCGAAGTGTTTGGAACAACTTCTAAAATGGTTTTCCAGGTGAATTGATGTACTTTGTAGTAACAAATAATCTTCGAATAAAAATTTATAGATTGACCTAACATTGCTGAGATAAGGACATCATAATAAAATATGTTTGTTCCTTGGAAGCTCTATGTTCCTAGCGAAGCTAATTATTTGAAACCATTATTAATATGAAGGTGATTTTTTGTTGCCTCGATAAGAGCTGAAACATGCTGAATGGAATAATTTTGAGTTATGTTTGGCTAACAAGAAAATCAAACTTTTGCAGTCATATAGGTAAATGAAAAGCATGCAAAAGCATACTAATTTAAAGCGATATTGTTTATACGTTGTTATTTTATGTTTGAATTGAGTGTTTTTTACATATTTTTGCTATTGAGACTGCTGAGTGTGTGAATTTAAATTCACAATAATTGCTAGAAAATCACAGTTAATGTGGCGAATACATTTCCAACTTTCTTTCATTTGAGCGATGGTGTCTATGAGTAGCTGCAAATTTTACGAATTAATTTCTTTATAGACACTCAGGTAAAGCTGCAGGCAATTTATTCTAAAGCATAACAATACAACTTTTGTATGAATCAAGAATGCAAAGCCTGTATTGATTGTGAGAAAAGAAAACTTATAATTTTTTTCCTTAGAAAATAACGATTTGCTGAGAATGCTGTTACAATCACTATTGCGATCTCCAATTTTATGATAAGATCAAAATTACCTGTGTGCAAAAAAGTTGAGTGAAAATTTTAATTCTCCTTCAAACGCGCAGCTTTTCGCTTCGGTTTCGCTCCGACTTTCATTTTTACATCGTTCTCCTTAAAACTCGATTTCCGCTCAATGAGTTGAGACATCAGACTGGAGATTTCAGCACTCGATACAAAAAGCGTTAGTTTACAGGTGGTGTAAATTTGGTTCCATTCAAGCTACTGGTGCCAGCAGACCTAATTTTTAAACTTTGCAATGTCTTTCAGCTGTTTCTTATTTTTACATTGTACACTTCTAAATACGATTTAAATTTATTCATTTGAGACTACGAATAAAGATTTTAGTACTCGATATAGAATAGAATGGTGTGAATTTGGTTCGATTCAAGGCACAAGGTGCTGGTGCCATCCAAATGATTAGTTTGGAGGGTTTTTTACATCTAACACTTCTCCAATCTGACGATTTCGGGTCACCTGGATTATAAATCGAAATGAGGGTGTTAGTACTCAATACACAACGTCTTAGTTCATATGTAAATTTATTTTTATTCCAGAACCCGATGCCGCCAGAATTCATTTAAACTTTGGAATATTTTTGAGTTTTGGAATTTATTTCATTTTGAGATTGTACATTTCTAAATTCAATTTTCCCCAGTCTGTTGAAATATCGGAATGAGTATTTCAACACTAGATAGAGAAACTTTCTAATTTTTAAGCTTTGGAGTGTTTTTGGGCTATTTTTCTCCTCAATATCGAACACTCCAAATACGATTTCTCTGCAGTCAGATGAGACATCGAAATGAATGTTTCAGCACGAAAGCTTCAGTTTACATGCGGCACAAATTTCCTTCAATTCAAGGCACCGGTGCAATCAAATTCTCACCAAACAATTTTATCGGCGCTTAAAATCTTATTGTTCCTAGTTAAAAAAAAAACACTTTTTTGCATCGGTTTTACAATATTTTCTTCGAATTCTCCATCTTTTAATTTACCGAAGTGACTCAGTTGAACCCCTTTTACAAGTACTTTACTCTTTCAAGGAGTTGAGCTCATCTAATTTACAATGCAAGTGAAATGGATTTAATATTTTGCCTTGTCTTGAGTGCGACGACTTTTTACGTCCCAATTTCTGATCTGTTCATAGTAAAATATTAAATTCAATTACCTTCAAGGACAGCTTCTTTTATGTCGTTCGAAAAACTGACTGGACCTTTAACTGGATGCGTACCAGCATGAAGATCCATATCAGAAGCGCTCTTCAACGCTAAAGTTTTCGGCAAATTTTCAAAAACTGTTCCACGCAATTTGTTCTGTTCGCTCAGCTGTTTCAAAGCTTCCAAAGGTAGCTGCTAAGGATAGAAAATAAGCAATAACCATTATTAGACTTGGTTTACTTACAATGGTCTAAACAAATATCTTGCCTGTTTTTGTTTGGGTAGAAATGTTGGCAATTCTATCATTGAAGTGCAGCGGCGACCGGATGGTAACTTGGCTGCTTTTCCGTTTTCAAATTTGTACTTTTTCTTTGAAGGGGTAAGTCTTGGTTTTGGTGGCACATTTTCCGTTAGAGCCCTAAAACCCCCATTAACAAAATTCCCAGCATATCAAAATTAATTAAATAAATGTCCATACAATTTAAAAAAATCGACACGTATCTACTTTTACTAAAGATATATTTTTTCCTGATGAGATATTTCTAATCATACTATATAGGGAGTTTGGTAAGTAGATGCATTCCTTGTAGGAGGTGATAGTGCACGTAATATTGGATATATTTCTTTAATAGACCATATTCCGAAAATGCTTAGTCTCCGATCTACACCGTGTTAAAGTGTTACTTGATCTAAAAATAAATATTATTTTCAAGTTGCTTCAATTTGCAATGTGTTTGAGTAAAAAAAATTAAATCGATTTATTGTCCAGCGTAATCGGGTTTTTATTTGAAAAGTTATTCTATACTATTTATGGTCACTGATGGGAAAAAATTAATAATTGCTGTCATTTCGGGTATCCGAGTAACTTCTTTTGGCGTTTTTTTTGTAATAAAATTGATACAATCTAAGTGCACAAATTTCGTTTTTATACTAAACCCTACTTAATTACAACCCGATTAAGCTATACAAAAAATCGATTTTAATTGACTTACTCGAAAACGGGATGTTGGAGAAAAAAAGTCAAGAGACCTTTTCTCTGCCAAATTGAACAGGAATTTGAATCATCAGGTTTATTGCTTAAAAAATCAGTGGCGTAACATTTTTTTATTTAAAATTATCTTCAGTCCTGCCTGTGCCCACGCCACTGGAAAATCTAGAAACCAAATTTTGATCACAAAGCATGTACTGTTGTTAAAAGCCTAAGCCTGTAAAATTTCGTTTAAAAATTCCAAACGGTTTCCGCAATATTAATAAGTAACATTTTTTTTATTAAAAAGTCATCACTCCGTAGATCGGAAACTAAGCGTTTATTAACGAAATGTATCCAAAATTACTTGCACTATCAACACCTGCAAGAAATGCATCTACTTACCAAACACCCTGTATAGAATTGGATGCATATACAGTGTGTTTTAAGGAATACTAACTAACCCAAAAAAACTCCGTATTTATATGTTTATTCGATTTTTCTATTCTGAAACTTCAGCAACAGCTTCCTAATTTAACAGCTCTAAATTATTATTTAAATTTAAAAAATAAATTTTAAATTAAAGTATTTGCGGGCAATTGAAAGCAGAAAGTTTTACTGAAAATGTATGCAAGTTAAATGCCTTAAAATAATAGAATAAAAACGGTAAATGTTTGCAAAAACCACCAAGAATGAATACTGTTACTAAAACTTCCGTTTATCCAAATAAGGCCAGTTAAGAATACGTGCATTAAAAAAAAAATTCCTTCTTTCCAAAACAACGAATTAAAAAATATAGTGCTAATGAGACATAAAAAGTGATTCTCTAAAAAATATACAATTAATGTAAAACATTATGTACATTTCAAGCGCCCTTTTTAAATAAATAAACTTTCAATATTATAAATACTAAGCAATCTGTCCATTTTATTCTGTAACGTTTATATAATATACATATTGTTTTTTTCGCAAGTCCTTAATCTAATTTGTTGTTTAGCTGAGATTCTTTATTGAGTTCTTTTGTTTCTCTTTTTTGTTTGTTTGTTCTTTTCTTTTACGTTCCATTTTGCTTGAAAAGAGTAGAAATTGCGGATCTTAATTTATAATTTCTAACGGCGTTAGGGCTAGTGATGAAAAAATAATAAAATTTTATTAAACGCTCTGCATAATATATTTCGAGAAAATGAATCAACGAGAACAAAATGCATCAATTTTCCGAATTAAAAACATGAAAGCACTAAATTGAGCTGAATATTTCAGCAAAGATTTGTCAAGAAAACAAGCTATTTGGAATAATTTATTGCATTTTGGCATTTGTTTATTGCAAATCAAAAAGTAATTTTTAATCCCTTACCTCTGATCCTCTTTGATCCAATCAGGGTCCTTCATTAACAGACCGCTGATAATCATATTCGCACCCAAACCAGCCATGATGAGCATAGATCCCCTCCAGCCGTATTCTTTCGTCAGATATGTTATTAAGGGCGAATAAATAACAGTACCAAAACCAGTACCACTTGCTGCAATGCTCAAAGCTAATGTTCTTCGTTTTTCAAACCAGAAGGCAATGGAAACTACCGCTGTTACATAACAGAGGCAGAATCCAATGCCACCAATGAAACCGAAAGTAATATACAGCATCCAAATGCTCTTCACGTAAGCGCTAATTACAAAACCCGTGGTGCAGATTAGACTGCCGAGTATTGTCATATACTTGCATCCATATTTGTCTACCATTGCACTCCCGAGAGGACCAGCAAGCAGTGGTACCGATAAGAAAAGACTGCCGATGAAAGAAGTTGCGGAATTTGAGGCGTGAAATTCGTTGAGAAACTCCATGTTTAAGATTCCAAAAGTACTGCCGACTCCATCCGATACTAGATTGATGAAAAGGCAACTAAGAACCACTAACCACCCCCATCCGCCATCGGGAATTTTTGGTTTATGCTCCTCTACGTAGATGTTTATCTGTGATGAAAGTAGGGTTTCTTTGGTAGGCACTGATAGGTGATAGGCTCTTCTTAGAGACTCTCTACTGTGTTGATGGTCCTTCAAAGTGCCATTTTCCAGATAATCTGCGAGCAGTTCATCATCGGTACCTTGTATAAGTGGGACGCGATTGTTATCCATTTCGGCACTTGTTCACTTTCAGCTAATTCACTTCAGTTTAACCAACTATTTTCAATGAAAATGCCGACATCACTTTTTCTCGCATCAATTTCATAACCCATGTTTTAGAGTTAATTGAATTAACATCAGTTAACTTAAGTTAACAGTTAGGAGACACCTGTGAGATGAGAAATGTATTGTGTAGTCATTTTTGATAAGGCATTTTGTATCGAATGTTGGCCGTTTGATCGGTTATTTCTGCTAATCCCCCCAACGGGATTAATGAATCGGTCTTATCGACTTATTTGCTTTTGATAAGGTGATTACGCTATTATTTATATCGTAGTTCATTATTATTTATATCGTAGTTCATTGTAATAATGTCTGCAGGTTCGCTTCTATTTTTGGGTGGCGGTAATGAATAACTCACTGCTTAGGTGCGACATCAAAATTTACGTACGAAGCGTAATCGCTGGTTTTTTACAGTAAATTATTGGTGTTTTCGAAAAATGAATTTAAAAAAAACATAGTGACAGTTTTGGTTTCATGCAGTCGAAAAATGTGAAACGCGAACAAATTTTCAGTTTATTTATGTTTTCTTCACGTTGTCGATTTGTAATCATTAACAAAGTCAATGCAATTGTTACCATTTAAAATTGTTGACCCCTCACACATATTTGCTATATAATTACAAAATCTAACACTCTTTTAGAAGAAATAAATGAAACAAAGCTTATTTTAGTCTCTTTTAGTAAAACATTTTTCAATGTTATTGAGAAAACTGCTCAAGCAGCGGGCTTTAAAAATATTTTTTAACTTCCAGGAACTTTGAATTCTTACTCATAATTAAAAAACAAAGTATAAGAATAATGTACAAAAATTATTTTGTACAAATAAACAAAGTGGCATAGAAACAAATTTACATTTCAATTGCTTTGCGATCGAAGGAAATGAGTAACTCCGAAAATTCTGATGCTAATCTCTTCATATTTGCTTAATCCTTTCCCCAATTTTTGTTTCTAGCAATTCCATTTTTAGATTAGGAGATTTAATTGGATTAAATTCCTCAAAATGCTATTTAAATCACATATCGATTACGTACATTCTCTGATTTCACAAAATACCTAAGTTTAAAAGCAAATTCAATTTCATTATTTTATCAAATAACTGATAGAAAAAGTTTAACTATTGTTTTAATTAATATTGTAAATTATTTTAATTATTTATTTATTAGCTGGATAATGATTAGAAGAAGTTTATTAATTAATTAAATGAATTTGGTTTAATGAAACAATTTCATTACAGTTTTTCGTTCTGTTTTATATTTTCCCAAAGGTACCAAAGTGTACCTTTTTAAAGCAATTTTTGCAAAGAATTGTAAAGTGAATGCTTTACAATTCTAAAATCGATTAAAGTGTTGCAAAACTCTTGTAGATGCTGAAGCCGAAAGGCCAAATATTTTGATTATTGCCAAAGTAAATTTTATTAGAAAGAAAATAGGTTAGTTCATTATTAAATTCTAATCAAGTTAAAAATCAAGAAGTTAAATCAAGAAGCGCTGTGAGTGATGAGTTCTGATTTATGTTATGCAAAAGTAGCAAGAAAACAGTTTCCAAAATCTAAAACAATCAACGTTGACATTTAAAAACTTCGTTAGAATTTAAAAAAATATTTTTAATGCCCTTCTTAAGATCAGATAAAGTAAAGCAGCTAAACTCTTGTATCGAACTATTTAAATCTTTAAGTGGTCTTTTTAAAAATTCAACAGTAACATTTGCAATGCTGCTTGAAAGAGTTTTTACTTCTTTTTGTCTGCAATAAGATTGAATAGTCTACTTACCGGAATATAATTTTTCAAATTCTTATTAAACAGTCTTTTTACAATGAAATCTTATATGTTACTTCAGGAATATTCCTTTCAGGAAATGAAAATAAAAACGAGATAATTATTAGTTGAATCAATAAATATACATTTCACTACGGTTGTTAAATTAAGAGTTCGCTTTTTTATTATTTACCGATTTGATCGAATATTTAAATGCTGAGCCCTTCGATTCCTCATTATAAACTTTAAAGTTCAATTTTGTAACGTCTTCTTCATTCAGTGAAACTAAATCTAATTGTGCTTAGTGCGACAGTAATGATTATCAGGTTTCCATCCATCTTTTTGTGCAAAAAAGATTTGAGGTATATGTCGAAATGGATGAATAAATAAGATTAAAATTTAAATAAAATAAAAATTATATCAATCATTTACAATTGTAAATTGGAAGTTTTTTATCATTTGAAGTCAATCAATTTAAGATCGGACAAATTATATATCCTTAACATTGTCTAGCTTTCTCAAGCTCTGTGCATGTTTTTTTATATTATTATTTAAATAACATTTCAAATAGCTATTTTTTATATTTTCAACACTGCAGTGGCGTAAAACCGTCCATGTCAGATCAAAATTCCCGAAGGTCCCAAAAATCGGAATTTAATGTGAATTTAAAACAATTTTGAATGTGTTTAGACTCGAGTGTTTTCGATCGAATTTAGAGATTTTCAGTTCTTACTGAATTTATTTGAGAAGTTAGAATTCTAATCTGGAAGACTGCAGTAGCCCAAAACCGTCTATGTTTAGACCAAAATTCGCATAGCTAGCAAAGATCAGAATTTAGTCTGATTTTAATGCAATTTTGAACGTGTTTAGTCTCAATTGTTTTCTATCGAAATTGGAGTTTTTCAGTTTTTACTGGATTTAGTTAAGAAGTTAAAATTTGAAAGACTGCAGTGGTGTAAAACCGTCCATGTTCAGATCAAAATTCACAAAGCTCGCAAAAATCTGAATTTAGTGTGATTTGAATGCAATTTTGAGGGGGTTTAGACTCGCGTGTTTCGACCGAATTTAGAGTTTTTCAGTTCTTACTGCCGTAATGCCAAATTGTGGCAGGCATTAAACACCCGTTGAAAAAAACTCAGTCAGCAAAAAAATACTAACCGATTTAAAAAACAAAACAAATAAACCACTTAATTGGAATATCCATATACAGGGTGAGTGGGTGATACAGTTTATAGAAGCAGAACTTCAGCGGTCGAATTTTAAGTAAAGTAACTAAAAATATCCTACACACATGTATTGACGACTTGGCTTTTGAGATACAGTGAGGCAAAGTTAACATTTTAGTTATTTTATAAAAATTTGCGCAAATCTGAAGATACTTTTTAAAAATTCTATACATACAATCATTGAAAATTTACTTTACGAATCTATCTTTGCGACCCTGTATTTAAAAATATAAGCCGTTTTCAATATATGTCTGCATGATATTTTCGTCTTAAACTTGGATGTCCTGCTACTATAAACTGACTCACCCTATATATGCATAGTAGCCTACAACAACGTTGCCAAATTTTTAACTGGAGAAACAATGAATCTTGACGGATACAATTTCAGCCAATCAGAATAAGCTGCCTCTTTAGCCAAGTGTTGCGTGATTCCCAAAGCCTCTACAAAACCGCGCAAAACTCTTAAATTAGTTACAATGGACAAGAATTTTGAAAATACACTTTTAGAAAATTGGGCAAACGAAATGCAGCTTATGGCAAATCATTACAGAGAACCGATTTTGACCGAGAAAGTTACAAGTCTTATGAAACTTGCCTGCGACACATTCAAACAAGATGTACAAGTGTTTTTTTTGTCTGCAGAACTGGCTGAACGCTATATTTACATCAAAGAAAGTCGCCTGGAAAAAATTGAAGACCCCTTTCTTACGGTGTGTGTAATAATATTCATTATGAGCAAATATTTTGGAGGTGGAGCGGACTTGAAGATACCCATAATTGAGAAATTCATGCTAAAAATATCCGGCATCAATTATAATGCCTTTACAATTATGCAATATGAAAAGGAAATTCTGAGCGTTTTACAATACAAGCTCACCTTTTCTACTGTAATGGATGATCTGGACATATTCTTTGAAAAATTTAGCAGGGAATATCGCCTGAAAGAAGTTCTTCGGCCTTTGTGCACTGAGTTATTGATACTCATCTATTGCACACGACAGCAGTGGTTCGAAACCCTCAAAATTCTGTACAAGGACGACGAAGACACTTTCGAAAGTTTGATTTGTTCTAAACTGTTCTTACCAGCCGGTATTTTAATCACGGCGTTTAAAAGCACAAATTACCAGTTCATTTTGGACATTGACGGGCTATTGCAAGATTTGAAAGTGTTCACGAAAATTCATCCTGCCCATATTCATGCTTTGAGTGCAATTATTTCCGATCTTATGCGCGAATAGAATCATAAAGCTGCATCAAAGTATTGCATAAAAATACATTTTTAGTGTAAGTATATTTTTGATAATTTATTATTAAGTATGTGTACTTTGCGTAGGAAATGTACGTGTGTTAGTTACCAACAGTTCGCCAGCAAAACATTTTCGTTTTTTTTTGTTCAGACTTCGTTTTGTTACTTTCAGATAAATAATTTATGTTTCGTTAAACATTTAAGAATAATGTTTATTTAATATATTAATGTTTTTCAGCGAAAACTTTATCATTTTAAACTACAAGCGCATAAGAAGACGAGTAGGCTTTTTCGGGCATTTACGAAAACAATCGAAGTAATTTAGCAAATGATTTTTGGTGCCAATTAACATAATTGACTAATGCTAATTCAAATAACTTCCGGATTGATCATCAAAGTTTGAATGACGTGAACATTTTTCATTCGACATTACCAGGCTGATTGAATCGGTAAAAAATGTATGATTGTAAACCATATTTATTATCATCATGAGAAACTACATATTAATCAGATAGTATTTTGCATTAATTATCGGTAGAATTGGATACATTTTTTGCGCTCTCATAATTAAACGTCGTTTTATCTAAATTCGAATTCAATGCAGAATGTTAGAATATCCAATTTAAAAAAATGTGTTTGATCACACATAACTTTACCTTTGAATCTTCTCCCAGTTTATGAATCGCCTGCCGCATGATTCCATTGAAATAAATACTATTTCTGATTTATTACACTTTTTTATCGAACACTTAAATGCATGTTTACAACAGCCACTTAACTATATAGTAATGTCTTTTGCCAACCCTAAGCACGGATACTTTATTTTGAAGTATATGGGCATTAAGACTAATCACCTCTCCAGGATTGGTAGCGCGCCGCTGATTAATGTAAAACCCGCCCGCGGAAATAATCCGTATTGCATCTTCTAAACAGCAAAAGTATTAAATAGGACAATTTTGGAAGTTTAAACAAGAACAACATACTTACGTTGTGTGGAAAAACAGCCAACTTTCATGGAAAGATCTAAAACGGTTTGTCCAGCCTCTGGCAGTACATCCAATATAGTTGCTCCCGCAAATAACTGACCCAGATCAGACACGTTCATCTGGCCTAGAACTTCTACATTACCTTTGTATAAAGCTTCCGATGCTTTTTGAGCTTTGTCTAGTCCTTCGCTCCCATGCACAAGAAGAGTTACCTAAATTTTGGAAATGCTTATGTAGAAAAAATTACTGTGTCTTTTAGTTATTGGCCATTCATTCAACATATTAAATAATTAATTGTAATAATAAATTACTTGTTCTGCAAGGGTTGTCTGGGGAATCCTCAATTCGGGTTCTTGTTGGTGCCTTCTCATAATATCTGAAATGCTACCGACGCTTTGAAATGTAAAAAGCTTAAGCAGCTTTGCAACTTCAGAGTCGGGTTGTCTCATCCAGAATTGATATAGCGAAAATGGAGAGGTTTTATCAGGTGACAACCAAACGGCATTACCTGCCGATTTTCCGAATTTATCGCCCATCTCTGATGTTATTAATGGAACTGTTAATCCTAAATAATCAATAACCATTAATACAAACAGAAGCTTTCTTAAATCAATTTACTTCACGTGAGTAAGAATAGAATTTATCAGACTTACCAAATACTGGTGTGTCGCACGCTTTACTTATTAGCTCATGTCCAGACATAATATTTCCCATTTGATCATTTCCACCTACCTAAAAAATTATAACGTTTTATAACACCTGAAGTCTCATTAGAACATTTGCTTACAATACAACCATATTGGATGGAAAATTTACCGAAAGAGGAAAAAGCTCACTTATAGACGAGTTATAAGCAATTAAACGAGCTTAGCTAACTTGGCTCAATTAAAAAAAAAATGCACTCATTTCATAGCGCCTTCGATAATTTCCGACAAACTTTCAACTGCAGCATCTTTTCGGAAGGTTTATCAGACCAATTGTAACGAAATAACACTTCCACAAAATTCATAAACCAAAAGGAACAGGATGACAAAAGGTTCGATAAGATTTGCAATTTTAGTCACTTTTTCCATGTTAAGTACTTCATGTCTGCTACTTATATAATACTTACCATATAAACAACCAATATAATACTTACTTGAAATAGGCAGTTGTGATTTTTAAATAAATGTAACCAGTCATATGCTTGGAATAATTGGTAACTGAATTCAGTGAAACTCATCCCTTGCGAGGATTTTAATCTAGAATGAACGCTATGCCTTGAAAGCAAAGTGCCCATTCTTAAGTGTCTACCAACTTTACTTATTAAGTCCACAGCAGTTATTTGAGAATACCATTCATCGTTATTGACTATCCTACAAATACAGTCACCCGACTTATTGATGCCATGAGCTGAATGCTATAGACTTACTTTACAGGTTTAAGCGGTTCTTGCGACTTCCACAAAAACTTCTCATGATTGTTGAAGATTGTTTCAATATTTTTATAGAGGCCTGCTATATTATCATCTATTGTATTTGTATGCAACGCATCTCGCTCGGTTTTGCGCCCACTAGGGTCACCTATTTTAGCAGTTGCTCCCCCTACCTTGAATTTCAATTTCACAGGTTCTGTTTTCTAAATAATTTCGTGAAAATTACCAAAGCTATGACTTGATGGCCACCTCTTTGCCAGTGTAATAAATTGACTAACACTAAGAGATTTCCCACATGTAAACTGTCCGAAGTTGGGTCAAATCCTCCGTAAACTGTTTGGGGCTTCGCATTCAACAGATCAGTAACTGAGTTTCTAGAAACGGCCTCCCAATTAAGTCCCTGTAATAAGTAGTTATGGAGCGAAAATATTTAACTGTAAACTTACGCAGCATTATCTGGGAATATATCGTGAAACATTTCTCGCTCTTTCAGCCTCAGAATGTTTCTGCTGGAATAGTTCCGGCAGAAACAAGTTGCTTTTCTCATTTTAAATAGTTTTCGGTAAAACATTTTTTGTTTAAATTTTGAGGTTAGTCGTCACCGTCCAGCTCTTAATCCACCATTCCCCAAACTTTCTGTTTAAAGCTTTGCGCTTAAGCGACAACGTGGCTTGAGGCCGCAGAGGAAATTTGAAAATTCTCTACTTTACAGTTGCGCTTACTAGGGAATTAGCTAATGATGAAAATTAGGCAAAATGAGCTATATATAATGCTGGATAATAGTGAGCCAAGCCATTAACTTTGTAAATTTTAATACATTTTTTTATCAATTAACATAACAACTACTGTAACAAACTTGTCGGCTATAATTAGGCGCAAGTTTTTGTCTCTGTTATAATATAATGAAAATATTACATTTATCCACGGGTTGCTTCAATTGCAAGAAAACGTACAGAAAATCGCGCATTTCCACGTACTGTTGACTTTTGACCCCACTGCTACGTAAAAGTCGAGGAGAGGACAACACTTTAATATAACTTTGCTATTTGTGATTGGTTGCAGTCAATTTTCGACTAAATAAATTTGTGCTTCACATTTTCGGTAAGAACCTTATCGATCCCATCTACTTACACTTAAATAAAAATATAGCTCCTTGAAACTATAACTATTTGAATAAATTAAGTTCACATCTGCAAATTAAGAGGTGTTAAATTTAATCTGGCTAGAATATTGATCACTGTCTATAATTGTATAGCTTTTTGCTTCAAATCCATTCAAACCAATTCAAAAAACATATCTGAAATTAAATGGTGTGTATATTTGGTTGCCTGCCTCTGGAGTTTTTAACATAAACAACAACAAACCCATCTTTGGCATCAGCTGATTGTCAGATTCGCATTGCCCTGTAAGGTTGTTTGGGGTTTGATTTATTTGTTCTTTTGGTTAGTTCTGTTGAAGTCATTTAATTACAAAAATGTGTGTCTAAATTGTTACCCGTTTGCTGAGTAATTATATTATCGGTTTCAGGCATGGTGAAGAGCTCTTCTCTAGAACAGTGCTTTATACAGAAGGAACTCATATGGAACAACATAAAAAGGTAAATAGATATTCACTCACATTAAAGCTATTTTTACTCGAATGCTAGCTAGTTTTGAGGGGCTAACTCCCAATTAAGATGATCTATCATTGGTGGTCGGTGTTAAGGATCCACATTCGGACAAAACTTCTTTTGCTATTGGAAGTATTCGGAATTTCGAAAATGAGGAATGGAATAAATCAACAGTACCTATATTAAAACAGGGTAATCCAGAGAACATTCCTTTATTAAGGCTATAAAAGAACCTTAAAGTTGAAGTACTTTTGCTTACATCATAAGTATTGTTGATTATAAACCCATTTTTCCACTTAACTGTTGAAGTAGCAGATCTTCAAGCAAATATATTCACGTAGGAATGTTTATTTATTTATTTTATATGATAATTAGGTACTGGAATCAATAAAAACCCAGAGTTTAATTTTCAGAGTACTTAATATATTTTTAGATTTGTTATTATGAATGTCTAGAGAATTATTATTGCTGTTGCGAATTCCACATTAAAAGGTACTTTATTAATCTGCATTATGACGATGATGAAACTACATTCCATCTGTAACCAAAACAATTATTCAATATTCATGTCTCTGAACAGCTGAAGTATCATGCGTGCTACTTCCGATGGTTTCACGATCCGAAACATTTACATTTTTATTTACTATACTTACATATATGAATAATGTCATAAAAATTGATTAGAATTCTAATTTTTGCCAGCTAATTAAATTCCGGTCTCACAGTAGATGTGACAATAGATATAACTTAACTGCACTTCGTCCTTTAACAAGCAGGAATTTTTGAATTTTTTCCTATCTGTAGACAAGATTTCGTTCGCCGTTGGCCTGATTTCTGCCAACTTAGTACCGGTATCAAAATGGATCTTTTCACTCAACTATTGTGTTTTTTTTAATAATTCGTTTTATAATAATAATTTTTTTTAATAATGCAAAGTGGCAGTTTGAAATGTTCACTATCTTCAGAAGGCACTTGACCTTATAGATATAACAGTTTCAAGAAAAAGGCTAAAATCTTGATTTTTCCTACTTAGTAAATATGGCTCAAAATAGATGTTTGTACTGAACTGCGCTCCCTCATTTAAAAATTCGGCTCTTCGAAACAAAAGCATGCAGCAATTTGAAATTTTTAACATCTTTAGACGAGACTTACCTCGACAGATGTAGGAAGTTTCATAAAAGTCCTAGTTCCATAAACATCCATAATCCTGATCTTTACCAACTTAGTGATTTCGGGTCTCAATGAATGTTTTCAGTCAACTTCCGCTCTCCTTTAAAAATTCGAATTCTTGATACCCGACGAAGACTATGAAGGAGCCCAAAAAATCGCTTAGAATTCTAATTTTTGCCATTTAATTAAATGCCGGTCTCAAAGTAAATGTCGTTACTCAACTGCATTCCATTGGCTTGGCGCTAAAAATCTCATGATTTCCGATAGTCGCAAAAATCTCCTAAAGGCCGGTACGTTGAGCTGTTGACCAAGAAAATCTTAATAAAATTAATAGGACAGAAAACATTTCTATTGACGTATATCGTCCTTTTTGTTTTTTCTGCGACTTTTTCAATATCTGGCGACATATTTTAATTTTTGATGCTTAGAAACTGTGGTGTATCAAAATGGATTAAATATTCAGCTTCGTTCAAAGTATAGAAAAATAAGTGCACGTGAAACGTAATTTGAATCCCTATAAATTGACAACCGATAATTTATGTACGAAAGTGAGTTCGGTCCCATTTGAGACACCTTGTACATACATTGCTAGAACTCAGACACTTGTTAAACTGATTTTGATGTGCTAATTATAGCAGAACGTTTATTTGTTAAACTGCTTGCTATGTAAAGCCTGCCTTTGCTTATAAGTAAATCATAGAGTTTTAAAAAAAATTGAAATGTCTGTGTTTTTGGGGGTACACATATACATTTTCAGTATAAAATGGATGAACCAAAGAGCATTGGACAAAGAACAATACCAACCAGCTTTCATAGAACATATTGCCAATATAATCACGCACGGAGTATGGATCTTTCCTAGTATACTAGGAATGAACGAACTATACAAAAGATCCCAAGATAACGCTCAAGTCCTTTCCGCCATTGTTTACGGAATAACTCTGATATCTTTATTTTGTATATCTACGTCATTTCACTGCGTTTTCTATTGCCAAAATCAAAGGTAAATCCATTGGATGCAAATCATCTATATGCCTAACAATCTACACATTTTCTCTTTTACAGGACTCTCAAGGATATTCTTCACCGGTGTGATAGGGGGATGATTTATATTTTTATAGCAGGATCCTATTTTCCATGGCTTACCATTGAAAAACTGCCTCAAGAAGGCTGGGCTTCCCATATGCGTTGGGTCACATGGCTGATGGCCATCATGGGCGTTATTTATCAGCAAATCTTCCACGAAAAGTACAAACGACTAGAGATTATTTTTTACCTGATTATGGGGATTTGCCCAGTGCTTCCAATTCTATCCGAGGTAAGATGAGGCTGGATTATATAAATTACTGTTTAAAGTAAACAAGGAATCATAACGCCTTATATTATGGCAAACATTTTTAAAATATGCTCTCATTGCTCGACGAATATTTTTTTCTTTAATTAATCTTAGAATGATCTACACCAATATTAGTTAGTACATATAACAATGTGATTATTTTTCGGAGATCGAATTTTTCTAAATTACTTGATTCAGCAATTTTTTTGCACCCACAATTACTTGACAAAATAAAAATAGCTTCTTTCCGTCTAAACAATTAGTGATATTATCTTCTGAGCTCTACTTCCGTATTTTTTATATCTCGCCAATTTTCCTTTGGGTATTATAAAACATTAACCCTTTTTTCTCCTTTGTGTTTTGCAGCATTATTTTTTGGGGATGATGGAACTGACTCTTGGAGGTATATTATACGTTTTCGGGGTGCTTTTTTTCAAATGCGACGGTGTTATACCTTTCGCTCATGCCATTTGGCATATTTTTGTTTCACTGGCTGCGTATGCTCATTATTACGCTATACTCAATTACTTGTACCCGCTGATAAACATGCAAACCAGCGAAACTAGTATTTAAATATTTTTATTCTACTTGATTTTGCTCTCTGGTTTTTTAATGTTTTAGTTGCATAGTTTATGCAGGTACTGGCTGCCTTGCATTTATGACAATTTTGACTCAGACGAAATGGCTAGCTGTGATTTTTGCGCTCTAATTTTTTGATATGTTAGTTGCTTCAGAGAAATTAACTTTCTCTGATTTATAAAATATTTAGACTGACTTTTATGCCATTGATCTGATTAGCTCGAATCTTGATTTTGGTTAACTTTGCGAAGGGTTTCTTTAAATGCCAAAAATACGAAACCATTTACAACATAATAAATGTGTAATTTAATTACAATTAATAGACTTCTCCACTTAAGAAGTAAATTGTTGGAATACGGCTTTTAAGGTCTGTCTATAACATGGTTTTATTGACATGTTTGGTACAGCGAATGTAATGCGCATTTAAGAAAATATTTGTTCCACTAAAAGATGTTCCATTGCACTCAACATCTGAAGCGAGTTTAGAGGTTAGTATTTCAATTTATTCCTTACTGTCGTTTTTTGCAGTGTTTTCCAAAATATTTATTTATTTATCGAAATTTTATTCGAAAGTTATTTTACATATATTTTAGTGTCTTTATATTATTATGTACTGTGTATAGTAACAGCTAAGTAGTAAAAACTAGCCGAATTTTGTTACGAGAGATTATGTTTGCATTTTAAATGGGCATTTATTAGAATATATTTTATATATAATACTCAAAATTGCTAGAAAATTGTAAAGATATAACCGTTAAATCGAATTAGATAGCTAAATTCACAGATCAAAATATACGAAAATGATTATATAACTATTGTTAATTTAGCTGATTGTGTGAAGCTTTAAGTGTCGTTATGTGCTCGTTTAAGAATTTTTATGGTACTATTCTCCAATTGTATTTATAGAGTGTCTAGAAAATTCCAGAGTCTTTTACCAAAGCAAATTGGAAAATGTGAACATGAACAGATTTGGTAGTTTGAGAAAAATTATAACCATTTGTAAACCTGAATATTAAATTACCAACTTATGTATGGAAATTATTGCATACATATAGAATTCTACACATGTATAATATATGTATTTTTTGTGCAATTTCTATGATAATACTCAAGGGATATTATTTATATTAATTTTTTTTATCATCTCATTTCCAAACTTTGTGTTTGCGTACTTGCCTGGTGAAATAGAAGGAATTAACGTAAGCCTCAAATTTATAAAATGTAATCAAAATCTCAAAAAATCAACCGTACATTACAGGATGGAAGATTTCCTATATGAAATATACATACTTTTGTTTACAAGAGTCGAATGTTAGTTACTAAAAGGTATCTTAAGGAAATGTTGCCATAATAGTAAATGTGTCAAAAGCGAACTCAGTTAATTTAATGTAATAACTATATAATATATTGTAGTCATGTTATTAGCTTTCCAAAGTCAACGTGAGGTTTTAGTGGTTTTTAGGTACATAGAATAAAGTGGGCCAGAGCTTAAGGCAAAAAACTTCCAAAATCTCTTAAAGCTGCAAAAATTACCCCATGGGATTTCTTTCCCACTCTACTCCATGTCATCGGTTTTACTACTTTATATATCAAAATATTCGATATTTTAATATATGAATTTTTTGCCGCAACAATGTGTTTTTGTAAACAGCCATAGTGTACGAATGTGTATCATTAGATCTGCCTACCTACACCGTACGAAGCGAGAGAAATAAAATACCTTAACAATTTCGTACTTTACAGAATTGTTTCTGGAACTATTTAAAAAGGCGCTTGATTCCACCCTGCAAGATTGGACATTTTTTATTGCCATTACCGGTAGATTTCATTCCTTTAAATAATATTTCCATTCATTTTCCACTGTTGATACCAAAACAGTGTTTAAATTGGGTTTTATACCTTTGATCGGTTATTCTTTGGCTGCCAATAATTTCAAATTTAAATTCAGGAAGATGGGTTTCCGACGCATTTAAAGTAACAGCGTTAAAATAAATGGCCACGCTTCGAATTTTGAGCAAAGTCATTTGAGTAGACTTAACAGATTCAAGTTTAATAATTTCTATCTAAACTTGATGTTTCGGTATTGTCTGTGCCAACTGCGGCGTTATAAGAACAGTGAATGGGCGATTGGTCAATTCTAATGGTTTCTGCAATACTCAGTTGCATAGGTTGAAAAGCTTGAAAGCATCATATTATTCCTCACCAACATTTTAAATGCTCATCAGCAGTAACATTCTCATAGCAATTGGCCATCGATTTCTATAAAATTTTAAAAGGAAATTTGCAAGGCAATGAGTTTCAAAGAAGATTATTAGATGAGTTTAGCGATTTTGATTCTTCCCATAAATGAGCATTATGCACTGTGTTTAGGAAAAAAAGATATGGAATTATCTAAATCGTAAATGATCGAAGATGTTTATTTGGGAAAAAGTAGATTACATTTCTGGATACGATTTTGTGTTTGTGACTTATGTAATTGCAAAGCAGTGAAATTGTCTTTGATTTGCATTAATTTGCATTACTACCTGAATATTGTCTTTGTATTACTACCAAAGTTGGAGCAAAACCGACTACACTTTTTATGGTAACTTTAAGGCACCGTTTAAACCACTTTATCCGGATTTGGGTTCTTCTTGTTTGTCTTTATTCATTGCTGAACACCAACAAATGTTTATTCTGAATTAAACGATTTAGTTAGACTTTGAGCAGTTTTTCAAATTGTCATCCACAAAATTGTGAACTTGGAGGTGCGAATAAATGGCGAAACATTTATTTAAATAGTTTACAATAAAGTAAAATCAAAAAGCAAATGAACAGGAAATTAATTCACTAAAATTTCAGCAGCAATTTTAATAAAGTTCGGTTACAGGGCCAGACAATTAATATGCAATCCTTATTTTGCTCTTGTGCTAAGTGTTGTTTAAATCAGGCACCTGAAATTAGCTCTAAAAAATAGTTATTTAACTATTTCCTGAATCGTTGCCAAAAATTGAAAATGTAAGGGTCTGGCAAATACTTTATGATGGATTAATTTGAAATTTATTTGGTTTTCTTGTAAAATAAGAGAAGCAACTTGCAAAAAGTCAGGAATCCATTCATAAAGTGTTCGGTTATTCAAAAATCTGCAGCCCAACGTTGTTTTCCTATTTCCATGCCTTCTGTTTTCTTGTTTTTTTTTCATTCATTAAACGTGCATCATTTGTTCATTCATTAACGTGTTCGGCAACTATCCAAAGCCTGTCTAAAGTGTTTCCAGATAATATCACCGAGTAATAAAATACTAAAGTCAATAGGACAAATGGCAATATGTGCGTAGAATAGAAACTTCCGTTTTCCAGTTACCTAAATATTGTTTGCCGATCATTTAGGCTATCACGGTTATCCATTGTTTAACTATCACTTCGCTTATTTGCTTCTGGATCGAGAAGTACTCGAAAAACTGGAATCGCATATGGTCCATTGGTGTATGAGATTTTATTAACTTATTTGGATAACAAAACGAATTTGCGTCGATTGTTTTGATTTATTTATGGAATATTTATTATAAAATAATTTGAAGTGAAACAAACAGGCATATGTAAAATGAAAAATGAAACAATATAGAAAAAATAGAAAATTCTTACCAGAGTAAAGCTAAGTTAATAAAGATAATTTAAAGTACCAATAAATAGGTAATTAATGATGAAAAGATGACAAGCACATTGAGTGTTTCTCGGTTTAACACTTTTCAAAACTGTTGTACTTTTAGTCAAACTGAAATGCGCCGACTTAATCGATTGACTCGATCCGTGGGTTTCGGTTCCTGTGCGATCATCTTATAAGTATTTTCTCCAAAGATTATAAATAAAACTTATATATTATTTTAAAAATCAATTCATTTGTTTTATCATTATGGTATATCAATTGAAAGTCGCCAAAGTAATTGGAATATTTGATTTTGCAACAAAAAACAGAAATTAAGCTTAGGAAGAGTTTATAAAACATAAAGTTATTAAAAATTAAAGTTTTTTTTTAAATTTAAGCAAAAGTTGCCTTTCTGCTGCATTTGCCGTTGTTGCTAATTGGTATATTGCGATGTAAAAATTATTTGATTGAATTTGCCGTTATTATTTATTTATTTTCACTTTTTGTTAAGTTTTATGTTAAATAATCTCACGTAATTATTCATGGGTTTAATAACATTGTTCTTGGCTAGCTTTGAATTGCGTATCAATTATTATAATTATCCGATCTAAAATTTTGTGTTACAATTTTTTATTTGGTCATACGAAAATTCTTCGTTTTTATGTGAATTGCTTTTTTTCACCAATATATGGATCAACTTTCACTAAAATCCTGTACGAAAGTGAACTTAAATCGCGTGATTTTCAAGGGCATGTGTTTGAATAGTTTGAAAAATGTTG